CCAAAAACATACCTTCCTATAAAATAAATAGGATTGCCCCACATTTTCCAAACAAATTAGGATTTTTTCATTATTACCTGGTTTTGGAAAAACAAAATTGAAATAATTTCATGTAAAATAAAAATACTACCTTTCATATTTCACCTATTGAAATGCTCTGCACTGTTAAACATGCAACACAACATATTTTCTTCAAGAAAAAGACATCAAATTGGACAGCAGTAGTTATTACAGTATTAGAGGTCTTTGAAGAGACTGTATTTCTGCTACTTTTTGTGCTTTCATTACCTTGTCCCTTTAGATTTTCTAATAATATTCAACTCAAACCTTAAGTGAAAACACCAAAGCTCAGTTTGCACAAACCTCAAATGTTTACCAGTCTGAAATATAAAAGCTTAGCAACATGTATGATGTCCGAACTCTTGGCAGTTAGTGACAGTAACCTTGAAGTCAGTGACAAAGCTCCCTCTAACTCCAGACCAGGCATCTCAGTTTTTTTCCCTTGTCTTTTCCTGAAGGTACAGCAAGGACAGAAAAATCACCCAAGAGGCAGAGGTGACACTACACAGCACAAACGGCACACTCATCTGTAATCTGGGGAAGAAAAAAAAAAAATCTACTCATTGGATAGCTAACCTGCATCTAGCAGATGCACGACAGGATAAAGATATACTTCTTTAGCAGCCCCCTTTTTATATACAGTGAGAAGTAAAAACCAGCTGAATTTTCAAATGCACTTAAGTGATATTAGAAATCTGAATCCCATTTTAAGAAGTAGCTTAAAACTGCCAGTTTTCATTGAATATTGGGCTCATTTACTTTTGAGAATGTAACAGTGTGCTTAGCAAAATTGTTGGGTGTTTCTGTATTTTGGAAGTCTGCCTCTTAAGACCTTAAGCATTTATTATAAACTTTAGAGACTTCCACATCTAAACACATTCATCACGTTAGAAAACAGGACTTTTCCTATTCTAACGATTATATTTCGGAGCCGCAAACACACTGCACAGGGAACACAGATGACTACTCTCCAGCTATGCCCTCTTGACACGCTTGCTCTAAAAAGGCTCCGAGAACTCAATCTTGCCATGGAGTCTCAACCTAGCTGTCCCAGGAGACAGCCTGCTTTCAGCCTATAAATTTTACCAGCTTTGTCCATCTGTGTTGCCCTGGTAAATTCTGCTACTTACGGATATAATTTTAAACAGTGCCCGAGGTATTCTGTATCTCGACTTCTACCTGGCCCCTTGGATGTAGGATTTATGCCCTTTCCATATTCACCCTGAAGGCTTGTGGGAGCTAAGTTACACCAGACTTGAACTAAAACCTTTTCATATACCTTCCAAAAGAAAACTGAAGAGAAGTCATATTCACAGCACAAACAGATACAATACTACTAGATTCCTATCAGCTCAGTGATGTTTGCAGAATTATGCTTGTTTTTACCAGTGCTGACTCTGGCCATACTATGAAGTAGGATGTTTCTCTGATAAATATTTATCTGAGCAAATTTAGTATTCAGACTCCTAAAATGTTAAATTTTCTGATTGAATACTATTAACAATACTTGCCCCAATTTTTCTCAGCATGTAAAACGCAACATGCAGGGTAAGGAAAACTCTTCAGTTTTTTGTGGTGACTCCTTTCCCCCTTTCAGGCACCTCTGACAACTTTAGTCCTCTTGAAACCTCTGAAACATCAGGAGTAAACAGATTTCTGCTTTTTATCATCAATATTGTAAGTACTTCCCTACAGGGGGTGGGGGGAGGTGTTCCAAAAGGCTTACAGAGATAATCTTTACTTAGGCTGTATCATTAATTAGGCAACTTGGCTAAGGCCAGTAATTACACCGTGCTAAATTGCACTGAATTTCTGTAGCACTTCACGGCAAGCAAGGTGCAGAGTTGAAGGAATAAAAGCCAACACAGTGACTTTTCTTAGCTAATGATTTCTAGTATGTCTGCTGGGAAAAACACTATAACACAGACCTGGCTGACGTGGATGGCCAGTATGGTCTGACAGAAGAGCGGCACACAAGCCGCACCAAGAGCCTACAAAGGAGGAGCTGGACAGGAACGCCTGCATCTCCCATTTCAGCGAACTGGGCAGACAAACTGCCATTATCCTACGTGATCCTCCATTCCTAACACACTGTGCTGGTTTTGGCTGGGGTAGAGGTGTTTTCTTTATAGTAGCTAGTATGGGGCTACGTTTTGGGTTTGTGCTGGAAACGGTGTTGGTAACACAGGGACGTTTTTGTTGGACACGGCTGGGACAGCTGACCCCAACCCAAAGGGATGTTCCACGCCGTATGGCGCCATGCTCAGCACATAAAGCTGGGGGAAGAAGGAGGAAGGGGAGGACGTTCGGAGTGATGGCGTTTGTCTTCCCAAGTCACCGTTACGCGTGATGGAGCCCTGCTTCCCTGGAGATGGCTGAACACCTGCCTGCCATGGGCAGCAGGGAATGAATTCCTTGCTCTGCTTTGCTTGCATCCGTGGCTTTTGCTTTACCTATTAAACTGTCTTTATCTCAACCCACGAGTTTTCTCCCATTTACCCTTCCGATTCTCTCCCCATCCCACCGGGGGGGAGTGAGCCAGCGGCTGTGTGGGACGCAGTTGCCAGCTGGGGTTAAACCACAACACACAGACTGGCAGACAGGCTTCATTCAGCTCCCACAGAATCCAGTCCAAATCCCAGCAACTCAACCCAAGTCCCCTGGGGCGCTTCCGCAACCTCTTTAGAAGCCCAGAGGGTCCCAATCCTCAAAGCATCGTCTGATGCAGTAGATTTCATCCCAATATGAAGTTCCCATTCCAGGCCTCCAAGAACACGAAGGTAATGTCTGCTTGGGCGATAAGATTGGCACTGCTGTGTCTTTTATACATTTTCTCCTAAGTCCTTTATCAGGACTGTTAGCAAAATCCCTTACCATTATTGAGTCTGATCTAAGCAGTAAGCTAAGAAAATTAAATTAACGTCATTCTCAGCAACATTGCAGAAATTGCAAGCTAAGCAGCTGCCACTTATTCCTAGTAACTCGAAGTATATTATATTGAAAGAAGTCTTACAATAACATATATTGATTTTGTCAGGTTTGGGCTTTTTTTTTTTCCCAAGCAACATATGTTGCCTGTTCTATATTTGTGGGGCTACATGGACGCAGGTTTCCTTGCAGTAGCTCTGACTCTTGCCAAACAGATGTTGAGGGAAAGTGACTTTACACAACATGGGATAAAAGCTGTCTCAGATCAAAATGTTGGGTTAAGAAAAATCTTGTGGGTAATGCGGTAGACTAAAAGCATTGATTATGTATTTACACACAGAATCAATAGGTAGCTGAATTAATGCTTGACTACATTTGTTGAAATCATGCTATTATGTAGGAAAAAAATTACCAAATGCTAAGAATTATGTTAATTAAAGGACAGAAACTACATCAGTTTAAGTTCCAAAGTATTCATGTAATTCATTTTACCTACAGTCCAGATTCTCACTAATATCCTAATAGCTAGCTGAAATAGTTTGAAGAGGGATGTTTTTAAACCACCCTTTCAAACAACAAAATGACAAGCGATTCCCAGTCCCCAAACACAAAAGATGGGGAGTATTATCCTGAGACTGACAGAGTTCTCCATTATTTGCTGCAATTTGTGTAATGCCCAATCAGTAGGACTTCGCTTATTCCAATACTTGGTTCGTGACTAAGCCTAATGACAGAATTCAGTTCAATTTACTCTCTGAGAAGACAAAGAGGTTAATTTTTTACCATTCCGAATCAACATTTTTCATCACCTATACCCTTTCCCATTATGAAAATGATTAGATTCGTATAGAGTCACTTCAGCACATGAAAACTGATGTGAAACCCTTCATTCCTATTTTTTCCCTTGAATTTACTGTTGGCTGAAAACACGGTACTAACCGCTTCAGGATGTTAGGCTTGGTTTAGCAAATATAATAAAAGACAAATTATGTTAGAAGACTTCTGTGGTTACTTTCAATGTATTTCTGATTTACTCAAGAACAACTCTTTGGACGTCCATGACAACAATCCTTTCTAGCCTCAGGTATGTAAGTTCTGCTTCTGAACTGGTACTGATGAAAAAATCTGCAATGAGTTTCCTTTACCATGAAAAAGGAACTTGCAGTTCCAGAAGCCAGAAATAAGCGCATCTCCCCCTTCATATAGAAATAACTTTCAAGAGCTGGCAGGAAAACCTAGTTTCTTCCACAGTCACTGCTACAGAAAAGTGATTATACTCCGATACGAATGTGTGATATAAACTTCCAAAGCAGTGAAAAGATTCCACATGAAAAAAAAAAAAAAAAAAATCAAACTTTTTTTTAAAAACTTCCAAAGCAGGGAAAAAATTCCCAATAAAAAAAAAAAAAAAAAAAAAAATCAAACCCAGTCAGTAGATACTTTACAACATTTTATATTCATAAAACAGGTACTTAAAAAAAAAAAAATCATAGTCTTTCAGAGTCCAGAGCTCAATTTTTCCCTCCTAAACCCATGCAGACTAAGAGTTTACTTCACCGCATAGATTGAAAAACAAAAACCAGGATTCACTTACTTGCCAGAGATTAGATGGGGATCTCTTAAAGCACCAAATATTACAAAACACTATCTAAAATCTTGCTTTTCAACAACGTTATTTGACAGTCGACTGGATCTAGGACAGCTGCTCTATCGTCTGTATTTCTATTCAGTTTGAATTATCTACGTTTTTCAATTCATGTACACTAAAGCAAATATTAATATATTTAGCAATAGAATGTTACTAAAGCAAAAATTATAACAACACTAATCCACGTTGTTTAAAATTACTCTAGTTTCATATATATTTATGAAATTTTCCCAAGCATCATGAGAAAACCGAACACAAAGAAAAAGTCAAGGTTAGTAATTAAGATTCCACATAAAACAAATCACAAGGAATCTTAACATTGGCACCTGATTGCATTTAGACAAAAACACATCAAGGTACATACCTGTAAATCTGGTGAATATTTTCAGCTTTGATTTCCTTGAGAATTTCATGGTAGATACGAAGGTTATTTGGTTCTTGAGATGTTGGGGGAGAAGGGCATTTCTTGCGTGCATAATATCCTATCACAATTCCAAAAATAAATAAAATCAAAGCAGTGCAAAATACTTTCAGTATCTGAAAAAAACTGCAGCGGTTGCTCTTTGGTGCCTGTCTCGTATAGTGTGAGATGTAGTCAGGGTCTTCCTGAAGCCGCTGGAATCTTCCCTTTGGAGAAGATGATGGCTGGATGGGCTCGAGATCAAGGTCAGGGCTCTGTGAGTTTCCCAGGTGATGCTGGACCGCACCATCCAGTCGGAAATGGTCAAAGCCAGGCTCCTCCAGCTCTTTTTCCATGTCCCATTCCAGTTCCAGCGCTGTGGCTTGGAGCTCATCGTTGTCAAGGTACGGTGAGTGCCCCTGTGCTCTCTGGTCTGCGTTCACTTTGTGATAGGCCATCTTTTTATCTATTAAAACAAAATTTAAGAAAACCCTAAATGTTCCTTTCCTTACCTATACATAGAACAATTTATTTATTCTTTGTAAACCTGGGAGAACTAAACATATATAATAAAAAGCAAAAACTGGGTTCTCAGTATTTCACTCTCCCTGTTTCCATCGTCCTGTCTTCTTTTGTAGGATCAGCAGTCGCATGAACATCGGTAAAGGGGAAAGAAGATATTTAAAGGAATATAATATATTGTAAGAATATGAATAAAGGTTATTTACAGGTGCCAATGGCAAAACGAAAGTTATCCTATTATTTTGTCAGTCCCCAAGATAATATTAAAAAATTGAGTGAAGGCACAGTTTCCAAAACAATTATTTATTATCTGAAAGTAATTTTAAAGCTTAAAAACTGTGTGTATCAATTTCATTTCACTCGTAACATAAAAAATAATGCTGTTAAAATAAAGTTGAAAAAGTAGAAATAATTTAACTTGCCTGATCTGATTCTAAACACTAGGAAATGATAAGTTAAAAAAGAAATTTCAGGGTGACACTGTACTTACACATCAATAAAAGGCTTCCATTTAGATGGAGCATTCTATTATTTATAGGTATTTTAAATGCATAGTTCCTGAATGACTGATGAATTTACTTAGGAATTGTCCCAGCTGTTTTGCTCCACTTATTTTTCCCATTTTAATGAACCAAAAGCACTACCAGGTAACTATTTATATCAAAACCATTCCTTTAATAGCAGGGCACATCTGTGGCAATGCTAGACATTTCTATGGAAGTACGAGCCCTCTAAAGGGAACTCTGACCTCCAGTACAAACATTCAAAGTCAATTTTCAACAAATCACTTCTAACAGACTGCAACAATAGGGTGCTGTTTTCCTCCATACTCTGACAATAGCTACTCCATCACATAAGCATCTGTAATTTAGGGCTTTTCAAACACCAGACTCGCTCATCAATTAGAATAAAATGAAGATAAAGATATTAAACCTCTCTCAGTGATGGGTATCGGACTGACACCTACAACACTACATTATCCCTCCATTTTTACATGTTAAGGCATTTTCTTTCTCTAAGGCTTACCTCCAGATAACGTTATTGAGGCCACATAACAGGTGAACCTACTCTAATGACAAAGTAGAATTTAGCTTTGTGAAGCTCTCTGAAGAGAGCAAACTGTTACAAAGCAATGACATAATGAAACAGCCTATTGTCCACTGAAAGACTGTCTTGCTCTATACAATACCAATTTACAGATCCTATTTCCTTGTAGAGCCATATAAATATCCCTCGCCTATAACTCTCAGGCAGTCTAGGAACAGTCAAGAGAGCCCATCCTTGAGGAATGCGTCTCAAGTGTAGCTATTGTATGCACTGTGCAAATCAACGCTCCACCTGCAGTCCAGATTTTTCTACACCCAGTAGAGGCAACAAAGTTTAGAGTGAGATGAAGTAAAGCATGTTAAGTTAGTGTGAAAAGCTACATTATTTATTTAAATAATGATAACAAATGTTAGTCTCTAAATTCCAGTTGAGTCAACACATGGCTTATGCCTGCAAAGCCGTTCTGGCTGAACTTTATGGACTTTCTGTCAGCGCAGCCCTTGGGTTTGTGAGGGTCCTTCCGAACTGCAGCTCTACAGTCCAGCAGGTCCACCTCTTCCCCCACGGTTGTGCATCATTTCTCAAGGGAGCACACTGTCTCCTCATCCAGGTTGTTGAGGAAGATATTTAATAACATCAGCCCCAGAACTGATCCCAGGTACACTAAGCTTCTTACCAACTGGACATCAAGTGATTTATTAGTATTCTTTGGAAAATAGAGCTAACCAATTTTCAAACTATTTATCTGCCCTTTCACCCTGCCTCCTCCTGTTTTGTTGGTGGAGGGATTAATTTGCAAACCATCAGCGACAGAGGTCACTACTAGATAATAACAACTGCCCAGCAACCTCATTTTTCCAGCTCCATTTCATACTGCTTTTTATTAGAAATTAATTTAAAGGCAAGCGTTTTGTCCTTTAAAAGCAAAACAAACCATTACTGTATTCCATAAATATATAATTTTGACTCGAGAGTTGCTACAGTCATTTAACAAACTGCTTTAGCCAAATAAATAAACCCTTAACAGATTACTACAATATTACCCATAGAATAGGAATTAGGGCAGTTTTTCAGATGCAGTTGCATGGCAAATATTAAGCTTGCTGCACTTATAAATGGTGACCATTGCATATCTGTGGTAGTTAAGTTTTCTCTGCGTTTATGACATTTTAAAAATGTATGCTATTGTTCAATGGAGTGTATTAATAAAGGTTATTTAAATCTACACATAAGTGCATAATAAAAATTCCTATGAAATTTCTTTAAATGGCTATTAATGCAGAGGAGTAGTAACCACATTCCACAGCTTAGTGTCTCAGGAATTCAATTTTCATACAAAGCACCAAAACCAGTTACTTCACTCCAGGAAAAAAAAAAAAAAAAAAAAAAAAAAAAAAAAAAAAAAAAAAAAAAAAAAAAAAAAAAAAAAAAAAACCAAACACATCACCAAACAACTAAATGAACTAAAATAAAAATCAATATTCAATTCAGTTTTATGTTTGAGATCAGTCTTTGGTGTATGGGATCTTCTTAGCAACGCATGTGCTTTAGTTAAAGAATGCAAGAGTAACCCCAGCTGGCATCCTCACTTTTTCTACTAATATTGCTAAGTTCATTTTTTGAGTGTGAGGACACAGCACGACTTACCACAAAGTCTCCGAGGTTAGGGCCCGCAGTGTATTTAGCTATGCCAACAGTGACTTTAGAAAGGGGTCTCCTGATTCTCAAGGCATAAGTCGTCTGTGCCATGTAATCTGTATTACCAGTTCTATTTAGTATTTGGCTGGTCAAAGAAGTAAGCGTGACTTAAAAATTATCTATTAAATGTAATTCTAGGTAGGAATTAGAAGGATAAAGGAAAACACTACATAGAGAATAACAAAAAAATAGACAGTAGAAATATGGATAAACTATAAAGTCAAGAAAAAACACTATGATGCCCTAGTTCAGTCTTCTCTGTAACACAGACCATAAAATGAACATATTTTTGAAAGACACTTTTGAAAACTTCAGGAGATAGAAAATCCATCCCATCTGCCAGCAAGCTGTTTCAACATTTAATTGTTGTTAAATACATGTTTTATTATAAAGATAAAAGAGCAACTGCAAAATGCCAGAAGTCTGAATGTGCACCGAGTGAGCTTTAAAGCCTTTCTACAGGGAAAGCAAAGGGAATCATAAACTCTGGAATACTGGACAGAGCATGGCTGATGACCAATAAAGTTGATGTGCATTTCTACACTTCCACTTATCTGTGGGGAGAATGTTTATAGAGAGGTATCAAATCAATGCTAAATGTCCTTTCAATTAACTGTACAGAAATCAGCAGTCAGCTTTATCAGATCGTTATAGCCTTAACGAGCCCATTTCAAAACTATCTACCTGTTCTTTGATCTTAAAAATAACACGTTTACACCCTAATAGGTGCATCTTGCTATGAAACAACCAGAAACTTTTTTTGTGATGGCTTTCCTCCTTGAATCCCTTATATCAATGAAGCCTTTGAAAACTATATAATAAAGACTACATGAAAGGTGTTGCGTCGGTATCGCTGCCACTCTCTGATACCTCCAAACAGAAAGGTCAGCTTATACGAACATTTTATGAAACCAACAAGGAAAGACCAATATGAATATATTACAGTAAATTCTTTGTGACTGGTGCTGTAGTTGTTAAATCCAGTTCATGAGCGGCTGAGACAATAAGCAGGCTCATTCACAGCAGGACCAGTGGCAAGTGTTAATGTGCTGCCCATAGCGAACGCCTTCTTGGGCCATTTAGTGTTGATTACTGAAAAGGCAAGCTTTACCCAGGAATTGTACCGAAGGCGTTGCAGCTTCATTGTACAGTCACCAAACCACAAATCCAGGGTTGCTGGCTAATTTCATTTTAAAAGTTCTTTCACTTCGATTTTCTTCTCGGTATCCTCTATACAGAGTGCTGTTGCTTTAAGTCCTTGTAATCTTTTTGTGTCTAGGCAAACCCCAAAGGAAATATAATGTCACCTGTTTGAAGGGCAAATAGCTGTACTTATCACAGAAATCAACAGCCACACACATACAAGCCTTTGAAGTGTATATGACAACAATTTAGTACTTTGTTAAATGAGATGATGCCAAGTTTCAGGCCTAGACGAATTTCTTCAGAGTTATAAATCCCTGATAAAAGTTGTTTGCAGAAGAGATTATGATGCCCTTGTCAACAGCAACATTACACTACACTGTAATTCAAAAAATAATATGATATTTCCATCATCACTTCCTTAATTTTCTGCAGTAAGGATTTCTCCCTTCCCTCACGTTTGGGATCTGGGCTTGGCAACCAGTTCAGTTACAGTAGGACAATTAAGTTCCTTGTCACTCTGCACAACCACCGTATAAAACCAAATGACAAACCTTACCCGTTGTGCACGTTTCACTAGCTGACTTAAGACGAACACAGCCTGAAAAAACGTGCAGCGTTGTAGCAGAAGACACAACAAGGAGATCAGACTTGAGAAAGCAGGTGTGTAGAACACGGATAGTCATTGAGTCCAAATTGCTCCTTCATGTAACACTAATAAGTACTTTCTAGCACACATGAGTGATGTAGAATATTTAACTTCTTCAAAATCTCTCACCAATTTTATTATGCCATGAACAGCCGTGTGGACCAGGATATTATTAACACAAAGGATGACTACATGACAAGAACAGGGTCTACAACGCACCTTGATTGATAAGACCGGCGCACAATGACGTCCAGTCGGAAGCGAGAGTTAACTTGCCTGTCAAAGCAGTGATCAAATGCGTCAGCCGCTTGAGCTATAGTATCCTGGGCCATCCAGGTGTGCGTAGGTACACACGTATGTATTTGCCTGCTGCCCTTTCAGAACCTTTGAAGGCCTGGG